TGGCAAAAAATAAATCTCATTATGGATATGGGGCCTCCTGCTGGGATGATGCAGTTTGAATGACAGAACTGCTGCAGGCGGTAGTGATGAATAAAACAACATTCTGCACAGTGATTGCCGCGCTGATGAAAATGAATGCGTAACAGACCGCTGTGATTTAATGAATGCAGCAGAAACAAATTGTTGGAACGACGCAGTCAGATGGACTCATTAACGACAAGAGTCCTCTTCTAAAAAAAAAAGAAGGTCCCAACCCTTTTGTGGGACAAAAAAGTTCTTAATTGCTAGTGTGCTGTGTAAATAAATCATTTAAAATTAGAACAAAAGACCAGAATTCAACAAACTTTCCGAAGTATACTGCTTTTTAATTCTGACATTTAGCAGCCTAAAGAGACTAGATAAAAGATAACTTTAATCCTTTGAGATAGTGAAGTTTGTAAGGGAACATGTTTACGGGGATTATTTCCTTGAGGTTACTTCAAGAGTGCCTGCTAATCGATAAGCAGAACAGTAATGCAGTGAATCGGTCTCAGTGCTCACTGTGATGGACGATGTTGCTCTGTGGAAGTTATTTGTCACACTGATGAGAACCGCCTCAGCAGAAACCCTGAACTCTGCAGAGAACTGCTACTAAATATCTACAAGTTGTTTTCAATGATCCTCTTAGTCTTAAGCTGGCTACACACCAACCCGATTTTGGGAGTCAGAGGCAGTCGGGCATTCGCGGCGCCCTACTCAGGTTGGTGTGTCCAGCACCGTCGTCTCTTTACGGCACCTTTTCACACCTCCCGCGGCCTCAACATGTTGAATCGGCCGCGGGGGGTCAGAGAAAGTCGGCCCAAGCAATCACTCTGATTGGCTGTTCACACTACGCTGCCTGCTGGTAAGGACAGTTATTGCCACTCGTCGACTGAAGTATTTGCGGTGTGTTCGTAGGCGGGCGGCGTAGCGGGCGGCGTAGCGGGCGGCGTAGCTGACGTAAAAGTCGGGACGCCTTCGGTACGCATTCTTTGGTCTCAGGTGGGTGTGTAGCGGCCTTTAAAGGTAGTCATATTTTCCCTCAAGTATAAATCAGCAATCACTTATGAAATTACTTTTCCCAACCCTTTTATTTTCAATCTAATGTATGTCTTTGACTTTTTAGAGTCGTATTATCTGCCATAAATGACTTTACAGGACCTGTGATTCAATCTCAGTTTTGTTTCTTTTTCTCTTTCTTTGTCTCTCTGTTTTAAAAACATAATGAGATTATATCCAGGATTATCTTGCTTTTGTGTACAGCCCTCGTGAGTAGCTTTTTGGTTGAGGCACCATGTTGAGTGGCTGCAGAGCCTGCTAGTGAGAGAAAAAGCTCTGATTGGCGGTTCAGCTTAAACTCATTTGTGCTGTTGTCACTGGTAACTTTAACGTATGTACTTTACTCCAGCCCTTACTGCTCATTGTGTGCTACTGCTATTTTCCTGAAATAGCGCACGTAGCGTGGACACAAAACTGCCTAAAGATAGACTCCAGCCCTTCTGCCATCTTGCAAAGGATACATTTGTATATTTAAAGTGGACCTATTATGCTATATTGGAAAAATATATTGTAGGGCCATACCTATACAAAACATGTCTGTGAAGTTTTTTTTTCAAAATACCAAACAGATCACCCATTGTAGCCATGCCTCATACTGCTCATACCCCTCTTTTGCAGCCCTGTTTAGAGAAACGCGGATCTTGGGTCCTTAGCTTGAAAAAAAAAAAAGGAGGAGGCGGAGCTAATGCCTCATCAGAATTCTACCGGAGATAAAGTTAAATTCTGCTGTGATAAAATGCCATCCTGTTCTAAACCACATCAAAGATTATTTCTGAAACAGTATGGAGCTCAAATGCTTTTTCTCTTGCGGGTTTATCACAAGGTGAGTTCCTTTTTATATTTCCTGCTTTTTAAACACATGTGCTCTACAGTACAGGTTAGCTCTGAGTGTTAGCGAGGCTTGCTAATGTAAACAAAGACGAGATTACGTCCAAAACACGTCAGGCATTGTTTCTGATAGCAACTTTCTGTGGGTCCGCTGCCAATTTGACGTCAGATCGGCAGCAAATCTGTATCCGCTCGTTGTACCCCTGTTTTTAAAAGATTTGGGTACAGAGGAAAAGAGAGGGTTTTATTTTCTGACGCTGCGTGAGTTCCCCGACGCACCGGGGACACATATTTATGTATAAAATACATCACAAAGTGCATTTAGCATGATAGGTCCCCTTTAAATAATATAAAATCAAAGTACTGGTATGTTAATGACAAAGTCAGTACTTCAGTATTCAAAATATTTGAATTGGAAAGTCTTATGTTGCATCTTTTCTCCTGTATAAAAAATGTGCTTGTTTAATCATACTAGACTTGTGTTTTACATTCTTTGAAACATCTTTCTAGACTGGGAAAGTTAACTTTTTATTTATAGTGAGTGAGAGAAAGTCAAAAGCGATTAGACAACAAGATCAAATACAAAGATCAAAAAGGAAAAACAAAACAGAAGGACAACACACAGCAGATCAGCTCAAACAGTTACACATGAATAAAGTGTGGTTGGCGATCATGCGTCTAAGTTGTGCATAGGTTAACGATGTATCACTCTTCAAAGTGAGCTGATGAATGAACTGAGAAGTGGTGGTGTGTCCTTATACAGCAGTGTTTGAGCTGCAGCCGTCTGCACCCCTCCTTAGGGTCGGTAGTTACACATTAACAGTCGGCTTATTTTTTGCCTAGAATCAAGTTTACCTTCATTCCTGAACTCGGACTGTTCCCAGGTAAATCCCCCCCCACACACTTAAACAAACCTGTCTGACCTTGTGTCGCTGTTACATACAATACAAATATCTGCACTAAAAGGCAAAGGTCCTGTTCATGTAGCGAACAAATTGAAGGTGGAAAACCTCCCCCACAACTTGACTCTGTGTTGATGTACTGCCCTTATAACTAACTATGTCCCTTTTGATGGATTCAACATAGAACATGGTGTAAACAACTCACACTGTGACAATATTTACTCTTAGAGACCCACATAGACCCATTTTTTATCTTTTTGGGCGAACAGGGGAAACTGAAAAAAGGACAATCTGTGACGAAATAAAACCCTTGGTCTGCTACAGTAAAGCACATTGTCTGTAATGAAACAAGTCACACTGTGGTTAAATCACTTATTATTGTATCCATTTGTGATACATTTGGTCTGATGGCAAATGTTGTATTTCTGGAGACTGTCTTCAGGCCCCTCCGTAGGAGTGACCTGCAACGTCTCTAATTGTCTTTAGTTGCACTCCAAGTACTTTCCCTGTCCAGACTAATGCTTGACTGACTGTGATTGATGTTCAGTTACTTCCACATAATAACCTCCACACGGTGATTTAACGCAGTTAACAGCCACTGCCGTGTTTATCTGCTGGTGTGACCCTTTAGCCTGGAGCCGGTTCAGTCGGTGTTATTTGTGTGCATCCTCCGTCACATCCCCTGAAATCAAACACAGGGATAAAGCTGCAGGATTATGGGTTTTCTTTAAGCACAATGATATCGATCAAAATTGAGATTAGAATAATTTATCAAGATTAGTCATATTCTAGAGATAAATATTTGTATTGCATGCAATCATTTAAATAAACAGAGCCCTGCTTTTACTTAAATCTTGCTACATTCCTGCTAAGATCACTTTTTTGGCATCAAAATTAGACTGCATTCCCTAAAGGCATTTTATAATTGAAATTCTATCAAAAACTTTGCTGGATGCTATACAGAGTCGCTGTATGGATGTCTGAGTTGACATACGACAAAGACTGGGATTCAGTAAAGTAGCACTAGCAATATAACTTTTCATGTCCTTCATGCATCAACATGCTGCAATTTGTAGTGTTTTTTCGAGGCCTTATTAAGCTTTTCCTCGAGTGTGTTCTCTAGATTGTTGTGCTAGTAAATGGTCTGCCAAACCTAAAATCCCAACGTTCTTTCACAGGCACTCCCCCACCTGCCTTAAACATCTCAATTGGACTGCTTTGTTTACTTCCATAGCATAATGACATCACTATGTAACAGAGCAGACTGGGCTCTGGTTTCAGACAGAGGGTGAAAAGAGGTGCTGCAGCACAGGCAGTATGAACATTAAAGCATGGAGACATGTCACAGTAGAGGCACAGAATACAAATATGAACCGGAAAATGAGCACAATAGGGCCTCTTTAAACAACTAGAGTTAGTTAGTAACTCATACACTTTTGGAATATGATTTGTTCTTATTTAAATTGTATCGTACCTGTATTTAGCTACATTCAGAAGAATGAATGATGCTCCAATATAAAGGACTAGCTCTTCACTTTCAAACATTTGATTGTTTGTTTTGTTGGTTTGCTCTCTGTTGTAAATGGATCTTCTACTCTGAGCTGCAGCCACAACAGTTTTTCCCAGGCTGCCACTGCACAGGCAAGACACCTCAATGCCCGTGGTTGCTGACTACTAGTTTAGGAAGCACTAGTTTGCAGCCTAGTTTTCATCTATTTCAATTGTTAATATGTCTTATATATTAATTTAATTTATCAGCAAAATTGTTTGACGATACACTAAACAATTAACATGGTAAAAAAGTGAGTGAGTGGTTGGTTGGTTGTTAGAATTAGATGTGTTGGATTCATGTTGATTGCAATTGTATGAAGTTTGTAGTTTTATGGTTTATGTGTGTAAATCGGCGTTATTCTTGTCTATTAAGTACACACAATATATTACTGAAACATTTATTTATTTTTAAGAAGAGAAACTTTCAGGGATAATCCAAATTCTCAAAGTAACGTGGAGCCAATGATGTGTACGCTTTGATGTGCTAATCTGGGGTTTGTATTTAACAAGGAGGTGAAAACCAGCGTCACAAGACCTTCAAGAGCCATTTCTTTTTTCTGTCACCGTGGTTACTCCATGCATTTTCCCTCCTTGCTGTTCCCATGGTGACAACGTGTTTTCTCCTCTCTCTTCCTCTTTCAGTGTCATCCAGGCTCCGTTACCACTACCTGTAGACAAGGTAAGAAACCAAAAGTGTTGTCGCCGTGTGCAAGGTGTTTGTCTGTGTGGAGTGTGTGTGCCTGCTGCTCAGAGGAGTGTGTGTGTGTGTGTTGGGTAGTTTCATACACATGAGTAGCCTTTGCGCACACACTGAGTGGACTAGTCAGCTGATAGAGGAATGCAGGGATTGCTGCCAGTCTCTGCTACCACACACAGTTTTTTTCCCACCGACCGCTCTTTGAGATATTTCTCTTTAAAGCTATTTCAAGTCCAATTGAAATTAAATGGTATTTTTTGTTTGCTACATTATATTTATCTGCCCTGTAAATCACTTGTCCTGTGTTCTCCTTTTGCAGTGGCGCCTGCTACTTTGGCATTCATTTAATGAAATCATTTTCAACTGTCTGTCCAGGGACATGGATCATTCATATTACATACACATATTCAGCATAAATAAGCAGCCAAATCATTGTTCACTCAGCCGAACGCTATACAACACATGAGCCACAGTCAGACTCTGAACAATAATCCACATGGGCAACTGTGAGGTAGTGCAGCTGTCTTCCAATCGGAAGGTTGTGGGTTCGATTCCAGCCACTGCAGTCAACATGTAAATGTATCTTATATACATACTGTATGTGCTGTTTAAGTAAAAGCCCTCTTTAACCTTTTTCTTAACTTAGGACCTTTAGCCATTATGAATCCAAAGTGTGGTGCTTTCCACAAAAAAAATATTATATTCAAAAAGTATTGCATGGTAGAGAAAACTAATGTTTGTTTTCAACAGCTGACTTTACATTTAGCAAACTTCTTTCTGCTGATTTATATGACCGCACAGAGTCCCTTGATCCTCCTTAGCAACAGTTTATTCTCTCTAGCAGTCTCAAATGTACAACCTCTGAAATGTCGTAATTGACAGAATCAAGTATTCAACTAAGCACATACAAACTCACATCTTGTCCTGCACTTTAGCGAGTTGAGAAAGCATCCAAACAAACATTCACTCTCGAAAGAAAATACAGGTTATAAAAAGTTAATAACCTTCTCAGCAGCTGCAACAAAGCTGCCACCATCAAGATAGATTTTGAATGTAAACATTTCTTTTTACAACAGCATGGCACATAATTCACACCATTGTGGTATTGTAGGAGACAGTGCCAGGCTAATTATTGAATTCCAGATAACACAATAGGTGTGTAACACGTTATTTATTGACTCGCCCTGTTGTGTGTGTGTGTGTGTGTGTGTGTGTGCTAACATAATGAAGTGTCTTAATTCAAAGCAGCATGCCCCAGGTCTGAAAAGACAGCACCATATAATTAATCACACACTTAGAAACACGCACCTGCACACACACATTTTTTTTTTAATTTAACATTTAAGTCATGTGAGGAACGTTTCAACATTTCGGGAAATACATTGAGATGTTCAGATGGATATCAATCTTATGTATGTGTGTTAGATACAGTAGCTGGAGTCAGGACGTGCTTAGCTTAGCATAAGCACTGGAAACATAGGGGACTGTTATCCTGGCCCTGTCATAAGTAAAAACAAAACAACTGTTGATACCTCACACTTTGCCTTCATATCCGGACATGCTTGTGTAGGATGTTGTGTGCCGTAACAAATTCTGAATTATTCCTTTAATTAATATTCCAGTAGTTTTATCATTATCCCTACTGTATTTGTGGCACTGTAGGGTAGCTATAAGGCCTCTTACTTTACAGCAGAAGATTTAGCCCTTATCCCTAATGCTGATGAATTATGATCAGAATTCTTAAACACTGAGTGTGTGTGAGATTTGTATACATTCACTTATTTGCTCCCTGGTTTGTGTTACACAGCGGTGCTTTTGACCTCTGTGGGTTTTCTATTTGCCCACCTTCAATTCAAACAATGAACAGCTGAACTCCAGACAGCTGCCAAATATATTACCATGATGTGTGTGTGTGTTTTCCAGGTTGCAGCCAACACTCCCAGTATGTATTCTCAGGAACTGTTCCAGCTCTCCCAGTATCTACAGGTAACCCACTGACACCTACTGGTCTTTCTGTGGAGCTACACTAGAGATAATGAAGCACTAAATGAGTAACTCGTACACGTTTGGTTCATGTTGTAACATGTATTTAGTGTCAGAGAACCAATCATGCAATGTAGAATATGTTCAGTGCGGACAGGAGACAGAGGACAGGAACTCTTGATTAGGAATGACCTAATTATATAAAACAGATCAAACACTTTAGATTTAATAGCAAGTCGGGTACATTGCAGGACAGGAAAATAAACATCAGTGAGGCACAGTAAAGCTCTTAAGCTGAGGAGTGGCCAGGAATATTTACTAAGACTAATGTTACCTCATCTTTTTGAGGTCTTTGATCAAAAACATGATCCCAGCAAACATGTAGAGACTTTGTCATGAAAGAAGCATGATCTCTTAAATTGTCAAATTTTTTTATTGAGCAAAGTTAGTCAACTAAGATTGCATCCCAACTGCTGCCAATAGTGGCCCATATCACATTTTATTAATAATGCGAAGAGCATCAATTACATCAAATCTGATATTTTCCATTCCAAAGAGTAGTCGCAATTGTTTCTTCATATGCACTAATACAATATTATTATTTTGTTTTATTTAGTTTTTATTTAAATGTACCTCTGATTATTTACTTATTTTACTTTTTCTATCTGTACTATTACAATTTCCCCTCAAGGGATTCATATTGTTTTGTTTTCTTCTTTGATCTAAAAACTGAATACAACTTTAAGCCCCATTGTCTTCTCTGTAAATTGCCCTGTTGATTTACTTCCCTTTCAGTAATTGAATTGATCTTATTCAAGTCATTGTTTTCCCACCTCTCTTTCTATTAGGAGGCCTTACACAGAGAGCAGATGTTGGAGCAGAAGCTCGCCACTCTGCAGCGTCTGTTAGCCAACACACAGGAGGCCTCGGAGAGCAGCTGGCAGGTAGGAAACACCTTTTATAGTTTGATCCTTAATGTCATGATACATCCCAACAGCTGAAATTCCAGTAGTTTACACTATCATTTAAGATTATTTTGAAAATGCACACTGTAATTTGCCTTTGCATGAAAGGTTTCTCCATCATTCCCTTTTATCTTAAATTATCTGAACAAATCAAATCTGTGTCCTCCCCAGGCTCTGATTGATGAAGACCGCCTGCTCTCCAGACTGGAGGTGATGGGCAGTCAGCTGCAGGCTTACTCTAAGGTAATAATGTGTCTCTGTAAGAGTATTTAATGATAACACATTCTCCTGCACTAAATGGATCAAAAGTCAATTGAAATGATCATCTATTTATTTATTTAAAAATCCTTCTGCTCTTCTGTCACAGTCCCAGCCGGAGGAAGGGATCCGTAAGGAGCTCCTGGCTCTCCAGGAGGACAAACACAACTACGAAACGACGGCCAAGGAGTCTCTGAGGAGAGTCCTGCAGGAGAAGATCGAGGTGGTCAGGAAGCTGTCAGAGGTGGAGGTAGGTCACACATATACATACTGTATGCAATCTCTATGATGATCATTGGCATTTTTAGTCATTGGACTTTTTTTGTTGCTGCTGTCCTGCAGCGCTCGCTCAGTAACACGGAGGACGAGTGCACCCACCTGAAGGAGATGTCCGAGCGGGGCCAGGAGGAGCTGAGGGAGCTCGCCAACAAGTACAACGCCGCCGTCAACGAGATCAAAGAGCTCACGGAAAAAATTAAGGTACCTGCAGAGGCTGGAATGTATTTATGTTGTTACTCTAAATTATATAGGATATAATCTCCCTGCAATGTTATTCTACTTAACACAATTTGTGTGTGGCGCAGTCATATAGAATGTATCTTCATTCTATTCTTAAACCAAAAACATGGTGTTGGCTACTCTTAGCAAAAAAGTATTCTTTTTAGATATCATGAATTGTAATGGCCAGAAAAGATCAAGGATAATGTTTCTCTATTAGTATTCTCTAAGGCTATGTGCCACACCAATGTCATTTTTGGTGTTAATATTCAGAAATACACCATTTTTAAACTACCAGCTACCAGAGTAAAAATGATCACCGTACATGTATCTTATCATTGCATACTGTAGTCCTTGCTTTGTCTTGTAAAACTGGGTTATGTAAATGTAAAACTCTCCTTTCTCCAGGAGGCGGAGGGCCGGCAGGAGGAGCTGACTCAGCGGGGGGCGACGGAGAAGAGGGAGTTGGAGCTGCGGATCGAGGAGATGGAGGAGAAGGAGCAGGTTCTCCAGGCTCGCATCGAAGCTCTGCAGGCCGACAACGACTTCACCAACGAGAGGCTGGCCGCCCTGCAGGGTACATACGCACACACACACACGCACACGCACACACACACACACACATGCTCACACCCACACTCACACCAACACACATGCAAGCAATCAGAACATTTTGATTTGTTTTTCCTTATTTCCTTAATGAGAATGTTGTCTATTCTCATAATTTTGACTTAAAAATGTATGATTTTGTATTTGATTATTCTAAACATGCATTACACATCCAGGTCTTTTTCTTCTCCTAGCACACACTAGTCTTGTCTTGTCCTAACCTTTAACGTGCATCGTCCGAGCCAATCACTTTGAACTTTAACACAAAAATTACAATAACAACCAGTCGCTGGGTCGGCTCTCGCTTTTGACCAATCACAGGGCTCAGCTGGGGCTTCCTGTCAGTCAACGTTTCTCTCTGCTGTTGTTGTTATTTACAGTGCGGTTAGAACAGCTACAAGAGAAAAGCATAAAAGAAAACAACAGCCTGGGTGAGTGCACATGTCTCTGCTCGGGGACTCGTCATCTCCGCCACCGTTTGTCTCACTAACTTCACTTCCTCTCCCTGCACTAATAACGCATGACAACTTCCTGCATGATGTCCACATCACTTCATTGTGCTCTCTGTTCATCCGTCTCTCTGTCTGTCACAGTGGATGTCTGGCTCTTCTCCTTCTGTTTTGGTCTGGTGGCTTGATGTCCGGCCCACACGTTTCCTCCGACAGTTTAAGGAGACATGTGGTGTAATTAGGGTCCCCATTAGCCCTCAGTATATTTAGTCAATTATATGAAGTCATTTACAGAGAATAACTGTTATTTTTCCCTGAGTAAGATTTAGGAACCAGTAGACCTAGTATAAAATACAAGTAACAGTGCAGTGTTAAAAAAAGAAGTAGGATTGATTTATTAAAAGGCAGCTGCAAACAGAAAAGTCGTGATTTAAAAGAATTGAGAGTTGCAGGATTTGAACCCGAGTCCAACTCGGCAGGAGCTGAGCCCCAGTACACGGGCCACCAGCTCTACCAAATGAGCCAGAGAAGTGTTTTTAAAGTATGTCACTAATCCATCATTTCAACTATGGCCCTTGTGCCAAAGCCTTGTGACCTTTGAATGACAGGATGGTGATGCATGTTTTTAGGCAAGTTGTCTCACGGACACGGTGGCTTTCTTGTTGGGGTTTCTGGATAATCTGGGTTGTTTCCACGGTTGCCAAACTGTCCACTACTTTGTTTTTTCTACCTCTGGGGAAAAAGAGCTTCTGGTCACTGATTGACTTCTTGGTGATTGAATGAAAACACTGAATAAGAATGCTGGAGGTGTCACTGCTCACTTTGCCACTTTGTAAAGGAACTTGCCGTCGTTTCGACTCGGTTGTGAACATGTGTTTTGGCTGGGACAAAATCCTATATATGTGTATATATATATATATATATATATATATATATCTGATCTGGTCACATGACAGATGTGGACATTGTCTCCCACGGACCAGTAGAGGAGGCTGTGGAGGAAAAAAAGAGCCTGCAGACCCCTGAGAGCCAGGAGGAAGACGAGGATGATGATGGGGACACTGACACCGATGATGGTGCATTTGGTGAAGATGAAGATGCTGATGGTAGTCAGTTTAATTATCATAATAATAGGCATCTCAATTTACACAAGACACTGATCTTTAGCAGGTTTTGCTTCATAAAATGTACCTAAACAGTCCGATATAAATCAGCACAATTGGGAAGAAGTTTAAACTAGTTAGTAAAAAACATTGCTATTAAATGAATAAAGACGATACAATTTAGATTTTCTTTCCAAGATGTGGCTTTGTTTACCTTATTGTTTGAGATGATTCCAGATGTATTTATTAATATAACTTGAGCTTATCCATTTATATATCTTTCTATTTTTAAAACAATGATGATAATTATTATTATTTTTTTTAATATATTTATATAATATTTAAGTAAACCAAAACACCATGACCAACATAAAAACCAAGATGCGATTTAAGTAAGGGTTTGGTCCTCCAGACATGTTCGATAAAGACATGAAACCTAGGGGTTCATTTAAAGAAATGCACATGTTCTGCCTGGATAATGTCAGGTGAGTGCACGTAACTCTGTGGGATTGTTGAGTCGATTTCACTTTTTTTAGTTTTTAGATTTCACTTTTTGTTTTGGTGACATCTTGAGTTTCCACTCAGACTCTGGAGTTGTGAGTTGGTCCTGTGATGCAGAAACCTCTCCGTATTGATAATAAAGAGAGGACTGGATTGTTATCATGAAGTCAGGGTTTAACAGTTGGCCCGGTGATTTCCACATTCTGATGGTAATATGTGGAAGTCACTGAGAGACTCGGCTGTCTGTCTGCCTGGCCACGTCCTGTCTGCTGTTACAGTGTTGTGGCATCTGTCCAGAAACACTGTATCTGACTTTTTATTTGTCTGTAAATAGCTGCCGTGTGTGGCTTTGACTTCCTCCTGCTCGGTTGTTTTTCAAGCATCTTTCTGTCCTTGCAGTTATCTATTTCTCTGCTACCCATCTTGTATCCGTCTGTCTTTTCCCATCATGATTTCTGTCTTCAGCTCTTTATTTCTCATCTTCTCCCCAAACAGGGTTGGGTATTTAGAGAGCTTTATTAAGATGTTTTTGATTCTGCTTATCAAATCCAGAATGTAATCAAATATGTATACTCGTGCATTGTCACAATAAAACAGACTTAATATCAAATGAATAAGTAAATAAGGGATGAAGGCTATACAACATGCTGAAACCTTTTCCCGTAGTTTTATCTAATTATTCACTTATATTAGTCAATTAAAATACCAGAGGGAAAACAAGGGGAAACTCAACGTATGTATGGTAGGATGGAGTATACTCATTTTTTGATTTTTTATATTTTACAAAAAAAGTACAAAAAAGAAAATAATAAATATTTTTGAACTTGCAGTTTAAGGAATTAGGACATAGTTAAAACTATAATAGATACAATAATAATCAGAGGGAAATCTGCTTCAATAAACGATGAGTTTTGTGTTATTTACATTTTTGAATAATAAGATTCAATGAAATGTGGCATTGATGAGCAGAGTCTATAAAAACATCTGAACTAAATACCCAGCTCCACTCCTGATAGATATCTTAGTAATGTCAGTGCTCTGTGTTCCTATCAGACAACTGTCATGTTAACAACAGCGGAGGAGACTCGACTAGAATCCAACAGTTGATTGAATGTCCGCGTGAGTACACACGTCCACACCTGCTCTATGCTAAACACACACTCAAACAAATATGGAGAAACACACACGGAAGCACAGATGCTGCCAGAGAAAGAACAAAAATAAAGATAAATGTTTTTTTAAATACTTTATTTAAAAACTCCGATGCTGATTCTCTTGGTTTTTATTTAACTGTCGAAATGAAAAGATACATTTGTGTTTTTTTATTGCAAAAGGTACCTGTGATAGGAAATGCAGTCCGAATGTTATAATGAAAGGGACCCACATGCTTTTGGGGTTTTCCCTCTCCTGTAGTGTTCTAAAGGTTTGTGTGCATGTGGATGGTCTGCAAAGGAGAACATCTCAAAGTTCCATACTCCCCTGCCTCTATTGGACTCCTTTGTTTACTTCAGAAACATAGTGACATCACTATGTAACACTCACTCTTCTATTGGCTAGCACTCACACACATTGTACGCCACAGCTAAAGGGTAGGACATCTTTAAGCGATTGACCAATCACAGCAGAGCCGGCCAGCTAACCAATCAAAATTGAATTATGAAACCTGAAATGTAGAATTATAGGTTCCTGTTAAAGATAGTGAAAATGGGAAAATGTATTTTCTCCTAATGTTTACCTAATATCTCATCATTTGGAGCACAATGGTCATTTTATTAACAACCTTTACACATTTATACATTTTAACCAAAACTTTGTGACAGAGGTCAACTTAACATTTTGGCAGAGAAAGTTTTTCGATGGCTTTATGTTTTAAAATGAATTTTTCCAGAAGTTGTTTTCATCAGTGAACTTCTGCACAATGTTAGTAAAATCTAGAGATGAAGGAACACTGACATCATAGATGTTGAATTATAAAGTGAAACCTCCAGTAGCTCTAATGAATGTGAATATCATTTATTTTATGCTCAAAGCATAGAATAATGACACTCTAAAGTCTCAAGAGCAGCATCTCTCGGGAAACCATGTCCCCATTATTAAGAATAAACATAGCCAGCCCGGTCAAGTTTTCACTTCATCAACATCTGAAGCTTTTTGCAGTTGGTGTTTTATTGAGAGAAGTCTGGAGACATTGCTGTATTTGCCTAGGGTGAAATCATCTTTTCCTTTTTTATGATTCGAGTGAATTTAAAAAAACAGACTTGTACAAATTCTTCAATATGTATATTTTGGTCATTCCCGGCTGAACTGTCTCATTGAACTTCTTGTCTTTGAGTGAAATGTTGTTCTAACAGACTGTTGCTCACTCTGACTGGTTCTCATCTCAATCACTTTTATTTTCTTCTTCTTTAACAGATATTCACACATTGCATATTTAACAAACCTCCTCCTAGTTTCTCTCTTTGTCTTTCTGTTGCCATCCTTCTCTTTTGGTTCTTTCTTTTTTCATGGTCGCTTGTACAGAGAGAGAATCAGTAGATCCATTTAAATATGTAGTCTATGGGGATGTTCCATGGCTTCGTATATTTCTCACATCAGTTGAACTGTTATCTCTTCTTGTCTTTGTTTCTGACCAGCAGTTACATTTGTCATCAGCTGTTAATAACATATGAGTGCTAATGCAACATTACTAGCAGTCCTACATCCTGAAGTTGTAGCTGGTTGCTGTACAACATGTAGAAGTCCTACATCTGCCTCCATGGGTGGTAGAGATGTTCTAAGTGGATGTTATTATAGGCTGAGATGTGTGTTGACATGTGCTCTCTAATTACTGAGGTTGAACTGAATGCTGTTTCACTGAAAACACTGGAAAGAAAGCAGAATTCTCTTCTTTGCAATTAGAAAAGCCAACTTATATGCAGACTGGTGGCTTTCTATGGATCAGGAGGACTTACGTTCAGGAATAACATTTCAGATCAGGCTTGTGGGGTTTGTTTATTGTAGTAGCATCTGATGAAAGAATATCTAGGCATCCTATTTAACTATGTTGAATGATAGTGAAAGGTTTCTAAAAATGTTATTTACTTTAACATGTAGTTGTTAATATCCTGGACCTTTTGCAGTTCTGATGTAGCATTAAAGTACACACATTTGACATAAAGCATACTTTTTCTTGTAATACCTGTGATATACAGGATCAAATAAGTAATTTCAGCACAAAACTATCCAGGCACACATGTCACAGCTTTTTGTTGTTGTATTAGCAGGATGTCAAGTCTATTGGACATTTGAGTTTGGGACATATTTAAAAAGATAGAGGTTGTAATGTGTTGTTTCCTTACTCATTTCAATTGGCTTTATTCACTCATTCTCTTTCTGTTCCTTGTCTTTTCCCTGCAGCAGTCAAACAGCTGAAGGAGGCTGTAAGTTCTTCCATCCACAAACTGGCCAACTTTGATGGTAAGAGCTCAACTAAGTTTAAATATAAAGAACTTTCTGTTAACTAACATTAGAAACCAGAGATCAGACACATCCTTAATCTTATGAGACTGATTTCAAATCGATTCCCACGTGGATTTGTTCTTATGCTTTTATGATTATTTGATGGCAATGGATATTACCCTTCTGTTTTTTACTTCGTTTAGTGTATTATCTGCTTTATGGGTGAGGGGATTTCATATCATTGTTTTGTAAAAATGCTCTCAGACAATTGGTTATGTTGATTGAACAAAAAAAGATTGAAAATTAAACATAACCTTTGAAAAAATGGTGTGTTTGTAGAAGTGATGGATGCCCACCTACAGAACAACCAGTCGGGAGAAGACGACATCCTGGCCAGCCCTGACCGACTCAAAGGTAGATCACACACACACACACACACACACACACACACACACACTCACACACTCACACACACACACACACACACACACACTCACACACTCACACACTCACACACTCACACACTCACACACTCACACTCACACTCACACTCATCTTGCATCATTTACACAGTTTTTGATATACATTTACATATTCTTTAAAAAAGATATTTCTTATTTCTATTCTTCCATACTTTGTAGTATAACGCACATATCTTTACATGGTTATTTATTTAAAAAATAAAGGCAATTGCAACGTAAGCCAATTTCCCCCCAGAGATATTTATGATTTATTGATTGATTGACACCATTTTTGGTTTCGATGCAAACATGCTTCTTAAATGATATTTCGATTTTCACATTTGACAACATGAGGCTTGAAACATCCATAACATCAATATATATTGAAACATATAAAAAAAAGCGATGTGGTGGATTGAATGGTTTACAGCAGGGGTACTCAAATACAAATCTTAAAGGTTCAATAAGACAAAGGTCCGTTTATTACGGTCATTCAAACTGTTAAACAATTGCAACAAGATTCTTAACACGAGGTTGCAAAAACAAAAATAATCTGTATGCAGCAGTTTTCATTGTTATTGTGTCTGTGCTTGATCCCTCAGAGTCGCAGTGTGAGCTGCACAGTTATGAATAAAGGCAGCTGCACCCTCTTTCATTCAGCATTCCCATTATTGCTTTATAAATGTCTCGCCCCCTTGTGTGTCCACTGAGGTTCGTCAGGCCCAACACATCTTCAACAAACTCCCCCTTTATTCCATCACAAAGCTGATTAATCAAATCACCAGCCAGTATTTATGTTCTTCTGGTTGCTGTGGAATCTGAGAGGGGGATTTGCTTGATTTGACCTGTTATTTCCTCTTTTTGTTTGCCTTCATCACTTCAGTCATGCATTCTTTTATTATTTCTGCATCAGAGAATTGCTTCAACACCCATGCCACTCTGAGTGAGGACTCAGTTGCCTTTTCTCGTTGTGACATAGATGTAACAAGGATCCTGCTTGCAGCTTGATATGATGATTTCATCCCATTTATTTGTTTGGTTCTTACCGCTGAATTTTGAGGAAAGGTCGCTTCAAAATAATTGTGTTTTGTTTCATAGTTCCGTTTCAAATTGTGAATTGTGGTGCTCGCTGGAGGGAGGATGAACGCATATTTTTCAGTCCATTCATCTTTGAATTGCCGATTTTCACCGTCGACTTTTCTTTTACTGGTCATCTTTGAATATGCTTCTACTAGCTGCCTGCTGGTGAAACTAGGCTACTAGCTACAGTACAGGTGAAACTAGGCTACTAGCTACAGTACAGGTGAAACTAGGCTACTAGCTACAGTACAGGTGAAACTAGGCTACTAGCTACAGTACAGGTGAAACTAGGCTACTAGCTACAGTACAGGTGAAACTAGGCTACTAGCTACAGTACAGGTGAAACTAGGCTACTAGCTACAGTACAGGTGAAACTAGGCTACTAGCTACAGTACAGGTGAAACTAGGCTACGAGCTACAGTACAGGTGAAACTAGGCTACTAGCTACAGTACAGGTGAAACTAGGCTACTAGCTACAGTTACAGGTGAAACTAGGCTACGAGCTACAGTACAGGTGAAACTAGGCTACTAGCTACAGTACAGGTGAAACTAGGCTACTAGCTACAGTACAGGTGAAACTAGGCTACGAGCTACAGTACAGGTGAAACTAGGCTACTAGCTACAGTACAGGTGAAACTAGGCTACTAGCTACAGTACAGGTGAAACTAGGCTACTAGCTACAGTACAGGTGAAACTAGGCTACTAGCTACAGTACAGGTGAAACTAGGCTACTAGCTACAGTACAGGTGAAAACTAGGCTACTAGCTACAGTACAGGTGAAACTAGGCTACTAGCTACAGTACAGGTGAAACTAGGCTACTAGCTACAGTACAGGTGAAACTAGGCTACTAGCTACAGTACAGGTGAAACTAGGCTACTAGCTACAGTACAGGTGAAACTAGGCTAGTAGCTACAGTACAGGTGAAACTAGGCTACTAGCTACAGTACAGGTGAAACTAGGCTACTAGCTACAGTACAGGTGAAACTAGGCTACTAGCTACAGTACAGGTGAAACTAGGCTACTAGCTACAGTACAGGTGAAACTAGGCTACTAGCTACAGTACAGGTTTAAACTAGGCTACTAGCTACAGTACAGGTGAAACTAGGCTACTAGCTACAGTACAGGTGAAACTAGGCTACTAGCTACAGTACAGGTGAAACTAGGCTACGAGCTACAGTACAGGTGAAACTAGGCTACTAGCTACAGTACAGGTGAAACTAGGCTACTAGCTACAGTACAGGTGAAACTAGGCTAGTAGCTACAGTACAGGTGAAACTAGGCTACTAGCTACAGTACAGGTGAAACTAGGCTACTAGCTACAGTACAGGTGGAAACTAGGCTACTAGCTACAGTACAGGTGAAACTAGGCTACTAGCTACAGTACAGGTGAAACTAGGCTACGAGCTACAGTACAGGTGAAACTAGGCTACTAGCTACAGTACAGGTGAAACTAGGCTACGAGCTACAGTACAGGTGAAACTAGGCTACTAGCTACAGTACAGGTGAAACTAGGCTACGAGCTACAGTTACAGGTGAAACTAGGCTACTAGCTACAGTACAGGTGAAACTAGGCTACTAGCTACAGTACAGGTGAAACTAGGCTACTAGCTACAGTACAGGTGAAACTAGGCTACTAGCTACAGTACAGGTGAAACTAGGCTACTAGCTACAGTACAGGTGAAACTAGGCTACTAGCTACAGTACAGGTGAAACTAGGCTACGAGCTACAGTACAGGTGAAACTAGGCTACGAGCTACAGTACAGGTGAAACTAGGCTACTAGCTACAGTACAGGTGAAACTAGGCTACGAGCTACAGTACAGGTGAAACTGGCACTAGCTACAGTACAGGTGAAAACTAGGCTACTAGCTACAGTACAGGTGAAACTAGGCTACTAGCTACAGTACAGGTGAAACTAGGCTACTAGCTACAGTACAGGTGAAACTAGGCTACTAGCTACAGTACAGGTGAAACTAGGCTACTAGCTACAGTACAGGTGAAACTAGGCTAGTAGCTACAGTACAGATGCAACTAGATGAGCTGTCAACTCTCGCTCTGTCTCAGACAGGTTGAAAGAGACGACACACGCATTTTTCCCACCCACATTCCGCGAAGACCCGCCCTACTGTGCCTCTGATTCGCAGACTGTTGGTGGGGGGAAAAAAACGCTGACGGGATGCTGAATGTGATTGGACCAAAGAGTTGACAGACACACACAGACAGTGGAACAGTCTGACATGCAGACTTGCAGAGCGCTGTTTGCAGTGGACCTAGCGGAGAATTTTGACTCGTTGCGTTGTGGCGATGTCTCGCAGATAATACAGATAATGCATATGAAAAGTATAATTTGCTCAGAGTCCAGAGACAGTTATGGTTCGGGCCGGATCCGGACCGGAGTCCGGACTTTGAGGATGCCTGGTTTACAGGTTTATGTTGTTAGGTATAAAATAGCCCATAGAGACTTACCAACAATTATATTTCGGTTCCAGTTCTTGTTTATTACTTGTTTTAATTTAACATTTGAGAATATCCATACGTATCTGGATTTACTAGCGACAGTGGCAGTGACTTGTTTTTTTGTGAAGTCACAAAGGGTAGAATCTGCTGACATGGAGACATCCTACTATACTGACCTCAGACCTTTGAACTCTGCCTTAGCTGTTGTAAGAGCTCTGACTGTCATCCATACACAATGCTCAGCAGCAGCAGCAGCTGTGTGTGGGGGCTTTGAATCACAACACAAATTCTCTGGATATGCATATCATTTGTTATGTTTTTATATACTTTTGGAGCTCTGATAACAAAAATGCCTCCCAAATCCTGTAATGTTAACCGCCACAACTGAACCCTTCCCAACCCTTACTCCATTCTAAACTTGATTAAGAACAAGTCTAAACTGTCCTTTGATAATGTGAGGAATAACCACATTTTCTCACGGCCAGTGTCTAAAAATCAGATTGAATACAGAAAAATAGATGAACATGAGCGTTTAACAGTGAATATACTAAAGCTGTAAAGCTAAGCTGCTGCTTTGTTGTTTCTGTTCCACCACCTGAACCCCGCAGTGCCTCACACACTGTAATCCAGTCCTTTCACTACACACACAAGGACACATGTTCACATACGCGTGGTGACCTATTCATTTTTCAATGCCTATCTATTTTGGTAATTTCTTCTTTTTGTATCTTTTGCTGGTTTTATACTGTTTTTTATACCAATTGTGTTCCTTCCTGGTTAATCTTTGTGTGTGTGTGTGTCTGTGTGTCCACAGAGAACCAGACCGATGGCAAAGAGTCCGACATGTCAGACACTCTGAGTCCCAGCAAAGACCGCAGCAGTGACGACACATCAGGTCAGTAAAACACAACAAATGTAACGTAAATCAAATTGAAGTCTCATCTGTGTGACTCCCTCTGTCTTTATTTGATCACACTTTTCTTTCATTAGTTTTAATTTCAAGGTTTCTATGCTGTAAAACTATCTTTTTGAAATGAATAATGTTGAATTGAGTCTGTCATGACTTCAACCTGGAATAATAATCACTTTTTTTTAAATGATGTTCTAGATCAATTCAGTAAGTAACTAATTAGAACCAGGCAGAACTTGCTGAAAATGAAATCCTGTTATTTGTTTTTTATTTAAAAAGAAACATGTCAATAAAGTCCTAAAAAAAGTATTTTTACCTTGTTTTTTATTCAAGCACTTAGTAAAGCTTGTTCATTCCTTTTTTTATGAAGTCCTCATTAGAAACAAATCATAACGAAAATCACCATGTGTGTTTCAGACGGCAACATGGACGACCAGGAGCTGATTGAACCTCAGAACAGAGGAGCTCTGCTCAAAGGTAACCATGGCAGCTCATCTCTGCTTTGTAGTCCTGCTCTGTGCTGCAATAACAAACCATGAACACCAAACTACATCACATTATCCAGTAATACACTAAACTCTCCATAAGGTGGAGCTGTTCAGTAGTGTTGATGCCTGCAGGTCCTTAAATAATGTTTTTAGTTTTTAATTTTCTCTGTGTTGTTTTGTAGTATTTGATATGGCCATCACCCGTGCTTAGAGATTATTCTAAATGAAGACAATTTTTTTAAAGTTGATCTCCTCTGTGTTTTTGTAGCTGAGTTGAATCGGGCCGGGCTAGAGCCTGGAGATACAGAGCAGGTCATCCACCACCTCCACAGAGAGCTTCTGGACGCCCAGGAACTAGCCAACACCGGCAAGCAGAGATGTCTGGAGCTACAAGGTAATTAATGACAGTATATTAATATCCCACTACAATAAACACTTAAATAGTAGGTAGCCGTGTTCACCCAAGCTCTTATTAGGATTAGGATCCTCAAGTTCTTAGGCGCTTTCACACCAAGTACTTTTCCCAGGAATAGTTCCCGGAACTTTTATTTCCTGGAACTATCTAGTAAATTGCGTTCACACCGGAATAAGTCCCTGAGGGAGCCGCTCACGTCCCTTCTTCTTCTGCTTTGGGTTTACTGGCAGGCCACAAACAACTTCACGGCGTATACTGCCACCCGGAGTCCCCGGCCAGAAGTACCCGGAGTTGGCGACTGGCTTCAGTAGAAGCTGCTGGGACTCCCAGCAGCTTCTACTGAAGCCAGTCCAGAAGTGCCGACACCTCCTCATCACTCCACCGCTCCAATGTTTTCTTTTGTGTTGCCATAAGTTAGTCTCTCTCCGTTTGTGCGCTGGGATAATGCTAATGCTAATAATGCTAATGCGAGCAAATAAAATGACGGCTTCACAAACAGTTTTACGAGTTTTACGGGGCGTGGTTTGCAATTCGCCCAGCCAATCAGGAATTGGAACCTTTTTCTCCCCAGGAAAGTCCCTGCTCTCTAGCAGGGACTGAAAAGGGGTGAAAAGGTTTGCAAACCAAAGTTCTAGTTCCAGATCTTTTTGGTGTGAACGCAAAATCCCAGGAACTATCGGAACTATTCCTGGGAAAAGTACTCCGGTGTGAAAGCGCCTCTTATCTATTTTTAACATTACCAGAATGTTTACGTGTTATATTACTCTCATTGTGCATCACATGGCAACATAACGGTTTTATATATATTGCAAAATGAAATCTAAGCAATTCAAATGATTTAATGAGACTTCCACTGGACCAACCCCACAACTCAAGTTATAATTAAAGCAATCTACAAACATTAGTACATAGAAATTCAATGACACGTTATACTCTCTGTGTCTGTCTGTAGCTCTGCTGGAGGAGGAGACGAGGAGTAACTCTAGGCAGACTGAAGAGTCCACCAAACAGATCCAGTACCTGCAGAGTGAGCACACACACACACTCACTCACTCACTCACTCAGTCAGTCTATTAGGTACTATACACCTGACTCCCTTTGTGTGTATTTGTTTGTGCTTTAGCTCAGCTCGGGAAGCTGCAGGCCGACATGGAGGGGCTGAGGGAGCAGAGGGAGAGCACCATCTGCACCACCCGAGAGGAGCTCTACTGCGCCCAGGAGGAGGTACCACTCCACCTCATAGCCCTCTGTCACCTTTGTGACTTCCCTCTGATTCCTCCTCTGATTGTCCCTCTACTCGGTCTGACACCTCTCTGACTCTTTATGATTCCCAGCTGATTCCTGCCAGTCTTTTCTTACTCAATCATCTGACTTCCTGTTGCTCCATGTCAATCCCTTTTCCCTGACACCACGGACTCCTTGACTCCCTTTCATCTCCTACTGACTCTATCTAACTTCTAATGGAACCTCCCGTCTCCTTCTTTGATTGATGGCCAGCCCTTCTGTCTACCATCTGATTCCTCCTAACTCCTTTTTCACGCTTTTCTTACTTCTTTCCTACAACTTTTGACACAAAAAAGAAACCCTCTCTTATTCAGTATGAGACACTATTTCTATTCTATTGTATTTGTATTACTTGCACTATTTTAACTATTTTGTCTGTTTTATTATGTTGCCCATTTGGAGGAGATTTTCATTGACATATCTACACTGTAGCTATGTACAAATGACAATAAAAGCCTTGAATCTTGAATGAGACCTTCTGTCCATCAGTTTACTGTATATTTCTCTCACATGACATAACTGACCGATTCTTGTTTCTGCCCTCAGATTATTGTCCTCCGGCACGCCATGGAGGCGGCGACGACGGAGCGTGAGCGGGAGATCAGCGCCCTGCAGGCCGACCTGAGCAGCGTGCGCTCTGAGCTGGAGCGCTGGAGGGACACGGCCGGGAGGTACGAGGGGGAGATCAGCCGGCTGCAGGAGGCCTTCACACAGCAGCAGCAGCAGCAGAGCTCCGCCACACAGCTGCAGGGTGAGCACACAGCCCCGTGCCAACACTAACACTGTGTCATTAAAACACACAGATGGTGACTGTTCTCTTCTTCTTCCTCAGCGGAATGTGTTACGTTGAAGCAGCAGTGTGTGTGTTTGCAGCAGGACTGTGACGGCCTGAAAGGGGAACGGAAAGCTCTTACAGACAAACTACACCGCCTGGAGACTGAGCTGAGCAGGTATAAAGACACACACACACACACACACACACACACACACACACACACACACACACACACACACACACACACTTGTGACACTTACAGTCTGCAATACAGGTAAATGACTCGTGGATTAGAATTCTACTCTTTTGCCATGCTTTTATTTTGAGTTTGATTCCACTCCAAAGGCTGACACATATTAGTACCAATGATCTACATCTTAACTGAATGACTTTTCAACCAGACACTGATGTTTAATTAGTTTATCAGAAACATCTTCATACATGTACAGGTTAAAAACATGGAAAATAAAGCGTTGTCCTTCATCTACAAACATATCTTCACTGTTGATGATGCTGCAGAACAGACCATTAGGGATATTATAAATAGCATCACACTGGAAAGTGTGTGTGGAAGAAATTCTAACACTCCACTGATACGAATATGAACCCCCAAACATCATAAGAACATGGTTCTTAACCCAATCAACCACAAATACAAGCAGCATTACTTTAATGATTTACTTTAATTATTTTAACACACTTTAATGTTGGATGTTATTGTTTTTAAATAAACGTTAACAATTCAACCTAAACATTTTAAAAGGTTGTTGCAGCCAAAATTAACTGGTCAAATTATGAAGGAAATGTTATTGCTCATATAAACCCATGACAGAAATGTAAGAATTTGTAAACGTTATAGGTATTGCTGTAAAAATGTCTTCAAAATAAAAAGAGGTACTTGGATAAATATATATATTTAATGTTACACATCCAAAAAAAGATGTGCTCATTACAAACTGAAACCAAACGCTTAATAATGATAAATCTAAAGACGGAACATATCAGGAATGCGTGTCAAACCAAGATGGTGGATGTTAAAATCAGACCTAAAAGTCTGTGTGACAGCTGTGATGGAGTTGATGAATTCTGGCTCAGGATGCCTGACAGGAAGCCCATGGGTGCTGATCAGAGTTCAGATTCAGCATTAAAAGAAGGACTGAGGGCGATAAGGAGCGCAGGAAACGCAGTGTCCAGCTGATTCAGGGCGACAGCTGACTGACAGAGTGAGCTGTCAGCAGGTTAACAGCTCTGTCTCATCTCCATGGAGAGAAAACATCACCGCATGTTCTCACCGTGCCGAGAGGTCAGCAGGATTTTATCTGAGTTACAGCTGTGTTTAGTTTCCAATAAACTGAGGGTGCCATTGGCAGCACTTTCCATGAATATCTGGAATGCACCTCTCTGGTAAAACTGCTGACATCAAACTATTACCTAAGATCCTCAAAGCTAGGGTGGGTAATCTTCTCCAAAAATATGTCTTGTTATATTTGTTGAAATTCTCCTTACATCCCGACGGCAATCAATAAAGCATATGCTCTAAATACCTGGTTCTGTGGAATGACAGTACAATTCTGTCTAATTATTTAGTTTAGGTTCAATCAAAATGATAGGACAAAGAGTCTTCCATGTACTGCTAGCTTCATAATGCCTGAGAAGATGGAACTTTTAGACTAGACTTTAGCAGCTCTTGGAGCTAATGTGGCTAGCTGCTTTCAGTATAAAAGGGCTGGCAACTCTGGATCATTTCAAAGTCTACAGTCCTATTGCTAACTTCTCAAGATTGAAATGATCAAAATGAAGATGAAACGCTTTTTTCACGATTTCAGTGCTAACATTTACCTTTAGAGCAGCACTAACAAACATGTCTCCCAGCTGTTCCCCTGCAAAGATTGGTTGCAGTGTGACCTGGTTCAGATATGTGCAATAAAGGCAAATGTCACTAAATAAACCCTTTTTACCTCAGCAATTATGATCACCTCAAACAAAAACAACCTTCCAGAGTTTCAGAAGAAGTGAAATTATTTTACAATTAACATTCAACTAAAACCAGTTTTCAAAAGAGAGGAGAAGAAAGTTCAATCAGTGACTACTTTTTCATATTAACTTGCTTTATAATACTTCTAATTATTACTCATGGTTGTGTACTTGTTTAATTTGATTATATTATACCTTTTTATTGCATCTTTTTAAAATATTCTAGCCCAATTTTGCCTTTTTCCTTTGCTTTTGTAACGCTGCACATTTCCCTGTTGTGGTCAGAATAAAACATTTTTGAATCCGAATCAGGTGAGAATAATTTGCTAAAGAAAACGTTATGTGTGTGTTTGTGTGCAGCACCAGGGAGCAGAGCCAGGTCATCAGCAGCAGTCTGGAGTCTCTGGAGAAGAGGGAGGGGGTTCTGCAGGACAAACTGGGTTCTCTGGAGAACCAACACCTGCAGGACGCAAGCAAGCTGAAGAGCCAGCTGGACCAGGCCCAGGCCCACACACACACACTAACCAGAGAGAGGTACACACACACACACACACACACACACACACACACACACACACACACACACACACACACACACACACACACACACACACACAGCAAGCAACACATTATTCATACAGCACTTTTCCTTCCAAGCAGAAGCACAGTGTGAGCTTCTGTTGAGCAACGAGAAAATAATGAGACCCACCACGAGTTAATACAATAGAAATACAATTACATTCAATACATGAATGATACAGGGGATTTAAAACCATTAAGGTGTAGGAGTAACAATAACATACTTTAAATCTACAACTAATCTGTACTAATTAGTTAAAGACATTTAAATGAAAACCAAAAAAGAATGTGAATAAAATATGTGAAATGGGGTGTGTGTTGTTGTGCAGTATGAAGACACACAGTCCCAGCTGTTGGACCTCCGTCAGCGCTACGAGAGGACAGAGAAGGAGAAGCTGAACATCCACCAGGAGCTGGAGCAGTGCAGGAGCAGCCTGAAGCTGCTGCAGGACAAGACCAGCTCCGTGAGTACACACACTGACACACACACACACACGGACACACAGACACACACACACACAGACGCACACACCAGAGTCCTGCACGGGTCTGATTTTCAAGACCCGCTCCCGCCCCGCACCCGCGACGTGCAATACCGAACCCGCCCCGCCACCCGCACATATTGCCAATTAGTTCCGCAAACCGACCCGACCCGTCGGCACAAGATCCGCAACCCGACCCGAACCCGCATATCCTATGAGCAGTGAAAACATGTAATTATTAACACACGCAGTTGCGTATTTGTCTCAAAAAGCGTGGGATGTTGGTTCTTTTCTCCATCTAGGATGACACCAAAAGCCTCCCAGACGTTGGATTTCGCTCTTGAGGAAGTGTTATTTACAATGCTGTATTCTCCGCTAGAGAGCTTCACCTCAGCCATTTCGAATGTGGCGCGCTCAGCAGCAGATTGATGCGCTGCAGAGGTTATGATTATGCGCGGTCCCGCGGGGGAGAGGTCTGAGGATTTAAACATTAAACTAAATTATTATTATTTTAATATATTTATTATGCAACACCCGCGACCCGACATCTTTGTTTTACCCAGAACCGAACCCGGAAAAAAGCGTTTGAAAAAATACCACCCGCGAATCACTTTTTTTTGCGAGTACCCGACCCGATGCAGGACTCTGACACACACACACACACACACACACACACACACACACACACACACACACACACACACACACACACACACACACCTCTCCTTCTTTCTTTAAAATACCAAAGAACCTTATCAAGTATTTGTTTTGTAACATTAATGATTGTGTTTGCTCAGCTTTAAATCCAGATGTTTTCATGATATTGTTTTTCCACAGTATTGTTTTTTTGCTTTAAGATATATGCAGGAGAAGCATCAGACTTGCTCATGGACACTGTCTTGAACTAACTAGCTGTATTCCACCCATCACTTAAATTGCACAGCCTCCTCGCTGCTTCTTTGCTAACCCTGTACAGTAAATAATATAAACCAAATGTAGTAGTAGTGATAGATAAGAAGAAATCATCACAAGTCATCGCCTCTCAATAACAGCTGTTAGTTTGTGAAAACTCCAGGAAACAGAAATCAGATGATAACGAGGCGGAGCAGCCTCTTCCTCCTCCTGTTGCCCCTCTTCCTCCTCTTCTTTCTTATCTGTCTTAAGCTCCTCTTCAGTACTTTCCTTACATGACGAGTCTCGCTCCTCAGGTTTTTGTGTCCCTAAAGCTTTTCAGTATAAAAGTCCTAATCCAAATATCCAGGAATAGATCAACACACTTCGTTTTGAAGTGACATTTGAAAAGGATAATATCTGTTGGTTGCCCATTTGGTTTTATTGACATAGTGCTGTCCATCATGTCTTCCAGCTCATAGAGTTAATGGCTAAGATGTGGGAACATGGAGACCTGACTAATGACACGTTGCACAAGTTGCCTGACAATCAGACGTTAGACGTAAACCTGCAGCTTACACAAACCTAATCAGGTCTTTTTTTTGTTTACATTTCATTTCTTTAGACTTTAAATATTCGTGCACATTTCTAGACAAAGATTAGCCTACACTTATATTGTTAGTATTTTAGTGTCTTTAGATTCAGATTTGAGTGGTGGCTGCCTAGGATTGTTCTGATCAAAACATTTCCAATAACTGGAGGAAATGGGGATGTAACGAGATATTCAGCTTTGTTATTGTTCAATCCAAGCAGTTTGCTGTCCTGTGTGCCACAGCTTGGATTGAACAATAACAAAGCATCTGACTAATTATACTCATCAAAGAAAGTTGATTTATCATAAAAAATATTAAATTACTTTATTATAAACTTTTTTTAAGGATCACGAAGTCTTAAAAAATGACCAATAATCTAATCTTATTTAAAAAACGTATAAGGAGCTTCGAAAAAAGAAAGTAAAAAATGTTCAGCCCTGACAGAAATGATGGACCAAACTATGAAAGAAAGACTCATTTGAATGAACGCAATGATCCTTAACGCCTGATCATTATCTGCACCAAGAACAACATGTCATGTATTGCCACCCTAGTTTAAAAAGAATAGTTTGGAGTATTCATAGAATGAACTTGTGTCCAGCGTTTTTATTTATTTGTAATATTTGAAAACAGAGCAGATTCTTAACGTTTCTGTCCGGCCTTTAAAGCAAGCGTGCATTTAGATTACCGGGTTCCGTCCTGGTGCAGAGAGTGAATGAGCAGAATTAAAAAGGTTGCTGTTTAAAGAGCCTGCTACCGGGTGGCACTTCTTCTTCTTCTTCTTCTTCTTCTTCTTCTTCTTCTGTGGTGTTTGGTGAATGTGGCTGTTTGATGTGTGGAGATGGCGGTGTTGCTTTGTAGAAACGGCTGTCTCGATACAACCCACCCCCCCCCCTTCTTTTTTCTCTCTTTCTCTCCCCCTCGCTGTAGCTGCTCCATCCTCATGTTGATTTTGGTTGATTTGCCGGCTGATATCTTCTTGTCCCTCTCCCCCCCCCCCCCCCTCCCTCCGTCCCCCTCTAGCCATCCATACTGCAGCCTGTCCAAGCCATATTCATTGGCCTTGTCCTGGCTCTGCTGTACTGGTGTTTCGGCCAGTTGTGGTAGAAAGGTATACACCGACATGACATCAGTCTGTCTCTCTGCCTGCCTCTCTTTTGCCTCCATCTGTCCGTCGTCTGTGGAAGGGAAGATGACGGAGGTGGAAACATCGTCCTGATCTGTGATGAATTCAGGGTCACATGTTAACAAACAAGATTAAGACAGAAGTGAAAGTACCCATGTTCCGGAATGAGTCAAGTTGAAATGACAATGTTTTGACCCTACATTCTTCCATTTGACTTAAATGATTATTCTCCTTAAATATAAACCATGTAAATGACCCTTAACCTCCAAGGGCTTTATTAAAGTAGTTTTTCTATGACCACCATATCTACTGGGCATTAAAGGGGCTTCCATAAGTTGAGATTGTTAGAAAAATGGAAAGAAATGATTCCAAAACATCAGATTTGCTGATTGCGTTCTTTCAAAGTCTCTTCTGGATGTTCGATTTGATATGAAATGAAGAGGTACATCACTTATAATATGATGTTTGTATAAAACAAACCTGAGCAGACTTTCAACACTAACTTTGAGTTGTTGACCGTTTCCCTGGACACACTTGGTCACACTTAGCTTTCATCCCTTTAAAACAACATGAGTTAAGAGAAGGAGGATCAGTAAATGCATCATGGTGCAGGCTGCTGTCACATGACGGTGGTTAGGTTTGAACCCTGAATTCTGATCATCAGGACGCTCTCCTCGCCGCTGTCACTTCCCTATAAGATTGTGTACCATCATCATCATCTTCATCATTGCGTTGGTCTTTGCCTCCTGCTGTGAGCGGCTCTAACTGCACGGCTGTCCGTCTCACTGCTTCTGCTGGGCTCACCCTGCTCTGCTCTCTAAAGGGACACGCTAGCAACATCTACAGGGACACCTGCTGTCCTGACAGCCTGAAGACACATTTCCTTTCTTCATCCTCTAGTAAACATTATTCCTTCTAGTAAAACGATTTTATTCTAGATGTTTCTTATTGTCAAGAATATGTAAGATTTTCATCATTAAATATCGGTTCACGAATATAAAGTAAAAATATTCAAAAGCAGGTCATTGTAGTTTTTAACTAATTTCACTCAAACAGTAGGAAATGGTGCATTTGTTAAGGACTATTTTCAGCAGTGAAAAGATTCAAAGGATTGCATTTTTTTAAGAAATATATAGAATTTAGTCCTTAAAAAAGGTTAAACATATTATTTCTTATTTTGATAAACTTTCTAGGAATATTTGATAGACAAAACAAATGGCCAGTTGAGAGTCTACTGGCATGTTATTGGGGTGCAGAAACATGTATTGTGAGTTAACACAAAGTACAAGATCAATCTAATTGCTCAGACAAGATTCAACGTAAAGATTCAGAGAAATGTAGTATTTATTAAAGATAATGATATTTATTTTTCTTAACAGTCTACGTACATTTGTTAAAGTTATATTAGAAAAACTTGGCCAATTTGAAATATGTTTCCATGCAAAATGAAAAGCTCTCGCAATGTACTGTATGAATGAAGAAGTGTTGAAATGTATATTTATTGAAAGCTCAATTCTGCAGGGATCTGAGCCGTAAACAGTCGCTCTAAGAATCAAGACTTTTGAAAGGTTTACTTTCATTACAGTATAAAAGTCTTTATTTCTGACCTTATTTATTTTAAGATAAAGGATTCCCTTTAAAGAGTTGGGCTTCACATCTGAACATCTCCTTATTCAACTCCGTCACTAACACGTTCACACCGCCTCCCTCCCTCCCTCCCTCACTCATCCATTAACGTCACTTCACGGCTCTCCCTCACGTTCAGGGTGCTGGAACTATCATTTCTTTAATGTATGCGTCATTTTCTTCATCTCTTGCAACAGGGTTTGTGGTTAATTTATAATTGTTTCTTCCATTTCTTGCATCCGGTCTGCAGCTTAATCTCATGTATTTTTCCATTTGATCTTTATTGACCTGCTCACAGGATTCATTTGGTAACACTGACCCATCCATCTTTTTGATTCCAAGTCTTTCTTTGGCCTCACTGCAGTTTCTTCATGTTTCAAACATCCATCGTTGTTTCCATCCCGTCCGTCCTGTGTTTGTGTTTGCTGCTTGTTTGTTTATTTGGAGTGTGTGACCAGTGTTTCCAGTTGTTTGCTGAAGCAAAACTGGTCTGTAACGTTTCTGTTTTTCTACTCAGGTAACTTCCTCCTTTACTTTGCTGCTTCCTGTTGTTCTTTCTCTCTTCTAACTCTCCTGAAGCCCCAGAATATGTTATTTTTTATTTGTGTATTTTTCATTGTTCAGTCATTTTGACACCACTCTTTAAACCTAAATATTTCTCAGCTGTGATTTCATCCAGTTAGTCAGACACCAGAGCGCTGACTCTCCTCAGCAGAAACCATGAAAGGACTTTGCACACTTTAGACCTTGATGAAGAATTCATTTGAAAAGCATTGACATGTGAAAATGGAAACGGATGTTAATGAAATGCCAAGAAAATAGCCTCGTAAGTCAAAAAGATGATTTAGTCGATAGATGAGCTTGAACTCAGACGACTTCAAAGAAAACAGAAATTCTTCCAAAATTACATTTCAACTAATGAGCTAATTTAGCTGAGTTAAGATTTATTATTGTAAAAAATATTCTTCTATATACATTTGTATTGTTTTATCTGTTAAGTGTTTTATTGTTTATAGTTTTAACTGCATGAACAGTCTGGAAATGTACAAAACGTGTATGTAATGCAGCCTTTAAATAAAGAAAAAAACACCTATATGATCAAAGAGAATCAAAGATGATATTAAAGCTCATTTGGATCATTTAAATATTGATACTTTGCCCAGCCTTACCCTCCCAATTCACATTAATGTTAATAACTGTCGATTATTATCAAAGTATTGTGCTTTTAGATCACTCTTCCCAATTAGATAAATTACTAGTTTGCTCACAAAATAAAAAATATCATCAGTTTTCTTTGGGCTTCATAGGCTTGACTGTTTTTCTTTTCTGCAGTCCTCTTTCCTCTGCTCTTCTTCATCTTCTTCCTCTCTTCTTTCTTTCATGTTTCTCTCTGTCAGAACATTGTTCACGTTGCTGCAGACTAACTTGTTGTGGTTGTTGTCTCTCCCCACAGAGCGGCTGGAGCCCCTGGATGCCGGTCATCGCAGTGATGGTCGCCGTGACGGCAGCCGTCCTCTACCCCAACTTCTCCAAGAGCAGCTCCACCTAGGACACACACACACACACACACTCACACACACTCACAGAAACAGAGAGCGCTGTGAGGAGAGCATCACTGCTTTACTTGTATAAAGTCTAATTGTACATAATTGTAGAGGGATTATAAAGGTTGTGGTTTCTACAGAGGATTCAGAAGCTTCTCGGTTTATTTTGTTTTTGTGTTGTTTTTTTCTGCGGCGGGGAGTTTTGTTGTCGTTTTTATTCTCGGCTCTCTCTCAGCTGTGGTGGGGGCTTCCTCTGTTGGTCTCTCAGCTGATTTCTGGGTTAATAAAGTGTTCTCCAGCAGGCCGGCTTCCACACAGAACACCTGCCAGAGGTGGAGCTCACATCCCTGGGATGCAAGCGAACGCAACACTTTCCAGCAGAGATATTTGGTGCCAGGCTTCCGCAAATATGTAAATTGGTTATTTTAATTCCAAAAACACTGCTCACCCTTTCCTTTTTTTGTCAGGGAAGAACAAATGATAAATAATGCGTTACAAACTTGGCAACGGAGGTTATCATTTTATGAAATGCTTAATTGTTTCTGAACATGCACTGCTAAAGCTCAGTAAAAACAAAATGTCTGATATATAATGTGTTTTCTACCTATTCTCCTGAGGCGCTGTATAAAAGGAGTACGAATCAAGTTTTGACAACTTTAATATTCCTTGTAATGTTCTGTGGACATTGTGCATATTCTTAAACAAATCAGTGTTTGATCAAATTCTAACTCACGAGGGGCACACTGGTCATATTTGCCCCAGACCTAACTATTATTCTTTTTGCTCTGTTTTATTAATACGGCCCCAAATACAGTGTAACTACGCAGTACATCTACATCGAATTGGACCGCCCGACTTTAATAAAAAGACAAATAAAAAAGAACTAAGAAAATTCCTATCAGTAAAATGTCAGAGTTAATATTTAGAAAAGAGTCTCATTTTCCCTGAAACATGATTTGTGTCTGCTGGAAAGTGCTCGCGATGTTTTCAGGAAGTCCGACTGCTCTGTTCCGGTTTAAGCTATGTTCTAACATGGACTTTTTAATCTTTTTGGTCTTTTCTTTTCTTTGGGAGTTTCAGGGTCGGGGGTTAAAACTTGAAGCCAAATTATTCAAATAAAAATCCGATTTATTTTCTGTGAGGGGTTTGTTTTTTTCATTTTTGTGGCACAGAAACGGGGCTTAAAGTGCCTCTGATGTAACTTACACCACCGTTTGTGTATGTGTGCGGACAAACGCAACCACACACTTTCTGGGATAAACACACACACACTTGTTTTGTGACTGCCAGAGGTCTGTCAGTGTTTCGAGAGGAGAGAAGCTGAAGTTGCTAATCCACAATATTTCATCAGCTTCTACCTGAGCTTTCTCCGGGTGAAGAAGCCTGTGACTTGGTGGTTAAAGCTCATAAACAAATCTTGTAAATTGACATTCATTTAAGATTATTTCATCAAACTATTGTGGATTTAGCCCAACGATTCCCATCAACTGAAAGATGATGCCTCGTTCATGACTCTAAGGACGAAGCGGATGATCTCTTGATCCAGAATACAATATTTGAACTGTTACAGGATGGATCTAAATTAGGTGCTGACTTTTTATAATATCTACTCTTCTAATAACTAAATTCATGACCAGACAACTCAAAAAGGGTAAAGAACAAAGCTAAGGGGAAATGAGGCTTAATTGGCTTAGTACTTATTGTAGTGGTTTTAGTCATGTTGGATCTCTGTGCATGTTCAGCCTTGTGCTGCTGCAGCATTTACATTCATCTGATGGCATTACATTCAGTCTTTTTGTTAGAAAGTATTACTATATAAGAATTACCAAGGTGTTTATACAGACATGCATGTTTATTTGCCATCTGATGAATGTAGAGGGTGCACGTTAGCATGTGGACTCACGCTGTCATTTTAGGTCCATGTAAATGAGCATGGTAAAGGAGTTAAGGTTATCTTTTTCTGATCAAAACAGTTCAGTTGGGATTAGTGGATTAGTGTGAAACCTTCAGCAGGAAGGTATCATGTGCACGCATGACAAACAAAACACAGGGACGACTCAGCAAAACGTTTCTTTATAGTGCGAACATCCTTTCATCCACAGGAATAAGATCAGCTTCTCTCCAAACGAGCTTAAAACACAACAGGCCTTTCTTTAGCAGACATTACTTTGATGTGTGTGTGTTTCTGTGTGTGTACAGGAGAGTGTGTGTCTGTTCACACTGGACTCATCGTTCGTGTACTCTGTCTCGTCTCCGTGTTTAAATAAAATAAAAGACAACGAACAAATATTCCTGATGTTTAAAGAGAAAAACACTACAGTACAGAGAGAGAATTGTAAAATAAAATGTTATTGGATGATGTGCTACTAGACTTATTTTGTTAAAATTGTTTAGAGATATGAGAGGGAGCTATGTAGAGGATATGATGATGTATTGAATATGCAGAGCGATGTTTGGATTAAAGTTGTAGCAAGCTGACCCACCAAACCTGCTTCTGGTGCTTTCATTCATTCATGGACGTCACAATAACCGCTCAAAACCTGTCATTAATAAATAGTGAAGACTAATCAGACGGTGTTTCCATATTTACATGAAGATATCAAGTTAATAATATCCTTATTTTATTTATTCTGATCCAGATTTTTTTCAAAATAATGAAAAGGTTAAAGTGGTATATACATTTTTCTTTAACAGCAGCAAGCTCCTATTTTGAATTGTTGAGTGTTTATTTTAACATTTTAATTGTAAAAATAATAAAAATACAATATGAAAAAGTGCAGTATTTCCTGTTCTGGGGATTTGGGAGCACATTGTCTTACTAAGGCTGGAAATGCAATGTTTTTCTTTTAAAATAGGACAATTTATCTTCGCTATGTTTATGATTCATCAAGCTGTAATGTGTTTTTTATATATTTAATACAAAAAAAGCTTTTTCAAACATAACAAATAATCAAAGACTTACTTTGCCCCCCACACTCATTTTTAGTATGGAAAAACAAAGTGTTTATCTGAAAAGCTAAGATTTAGCGAGATTGATCTCAATCTAAAGAGCAATAGTTGCCTGTGTATCTGTCACACTCCCACTTGAGGGAAAAATACAATAATTCCCCCTGAATTGTAGAGGAGTATGAAGAATCCTAACAAGAAATTAAAACACTCAAGTTAAGTACAGAAAACTCAAAATTATACTTAAGTACAGTTCTTAAATGTATTTCCCCCCAGTGATTAAACCAAGGTGAGGATGATGTCATGGTAACAAAGAACTAAACTCTTCATTAAACAGCAGGCCTGGACCTGTGTGTGTGCAAGTGTGTGCACGTGTGTGTGTGTAGTCTGTTCCCATGACAAACATGCATCAATCATCCAGCAGGGCATGATGTCATCTTTACGAGACAAAGGTTGCAACATGACTGTAGGAACATGTCGAGGAATTAACACTCAGCGGTCTCTGATGTTGAGTCAGAGACAGAGAATTCAATATTGCAGAAATGTTTTCAAGTGGCAAGAAATGCAAAGAGTTTTTGGACGTGATGTGAAAGTGGTCTTCTATGTTCAGTTGTTTAATATATTGACATTTTCCAAAAGGAATAAATAATGAAGTCAACTTTTTGATACCTAAAGCTTAAAAATCATTCAGTTTTTTTACTTAAGATATAATAACTTTATTGTATTTTCTTGTAATTCTATGTTAAATAGTTAAATTATTGACTTTTTACCTTTTTGTTTTACTGTTTCAGCCCTGTTCCAAAAGTGCTGATTCTGTGTCTGTAGCTTTAACTGCTAATGAGCTGCTGCTGGCCACGCCCTTCTGTCAAGTGATTGGTTAAAAAGAACACAATGGTGCTCTAGGAAGAGATTCAGGTGATAAGGGGGGGGGGGGGGGGGGGGGGGTTACCTTGGTTGGTGATTGGCTAATGGTTACACAACCCAAAAAATCGTTATGACATCATAAAGTGGCCAAAATCTGATCAGCTCATTTTCTCATTTTTATATAAATGGATCAGGACAAAAAGAGAGAGAATCTTTGTTCCTGAAACTTTCAGAGTCTCTTTACACAGAGGGGACACATGTTGATGAAGAAGAGACATGAAGAAGAGGGGACACATGTTGATGAAGAAGAGACATGAAGAAGTGGATTTTGCATAATAGGTTATTTTTTAAATAACTTGTGTCAAAAACACAGCTATTATTTACCATGATTCATTCTATTTGTAATATTATCCCAACGAACACTGACTTTTTATTTTTCTAACCCGTCTTTTTCTTTCCCTGCATCTAGGCCTCCTCTTTTTTTTCTTTTTCTTTTTTTTTATCAAACTGATTTTTGACCTGTTTTTTTATCTCCTATTTTTACTGTATTATAATAATCAACCGTAAATGTTTGGTTTGTTTAGTTAACACAAGAGACGTGTTGTACTTGGTCAAACAGCTGCAAAGACATGTGAGGACATTTTCATGTTACTGTCAGCATATGATATTCTTATTTATAACAAACTGTAACAATAATCAGACCATGACTTTATGAAATATATAGGGATTTTTACAGCTTCTTGTTTCAGTGAGTATTTGATGCTGACACCTCGCCAGACATCAAAGTGTGATTCATAAAAAGCCTCTGGTCTCTGAATTTAGAAAAAGTTGAAACACGTCCACAGACGTCAATGATTCCTCCTGCGGGATTTACTGCAATCCTCAAGTCAAGACATCCCTCTGTTTACCCTGAAAACACAGAAGGGTGTGTGTGTGTGTGTGTGTGTGTGTGTGTGTGTGTGTGTGTGTGTGTGTGTGTGTGTGTGTGTGTGTGTGTGTGTGTGTGTGTGTGTGTGTGTGTGTGTGTGTGTGTGTGTGTGTGTGTGTTGAGACTTGTCATGCAGGGTTGGGTTGTTCTGTCTGAAACAGATTTGAAGATTTAAACCCACATAAAGTTAATATAAAATAATAATATATAAATAAATACATAAGTTGATACATCTATATGTATTATCTATAATACTTATAATTGTATTATCAATTACATTACATTACATGTTAGACGCTTTTTTCCAAAGCGACTTACATACTCAATACTGTGGGCAATCCCCATAGGAGCAATTTGGGGTGAAGTGTCTTGCCCAGGGACTGCGCCACCCGCCTCCCAATTCGTTTACAATGTATGTTTATATTTTATTTTAATTTCAATTATTCTTACATTATTTTAAAGTGAAAACCTGAATGTTTTGTGCATGTCAATGAAGTCAATGATGCAAGATGAAATCCAAAAGGAGGCAGTGATGCAACATTTACAATCCCAAAGGCCCGTAAAACTTCATAGAAGAAGAGGAAGAAATCCGAGCTTTCAGAGCCGCACCTGAACGCAGCAGCAGCCAGTGAGTCTCCGTGAGGTTACAAAAAAACTGCAAACCAACTTCAGGCTGCTTCGAGGAAACACACACAACAATACGCTCCCGGCCCATTCTGTCACAGTTTAACCAGGGACCAGCAGCGGGAAAGAGAAGACAAGATGCCGGTCACAGAGAAGGACCTGGCCGAGGACGCTCCGTGGAAGAAGATCCAGCAGAACACCTTTACGCGCTGGAGCAACGAGCACCTGAAATGCGTCAACAAGCGGATCGTGGACCTGCAGACGGACCTGGGCGACGGCCTGAGGCTCATCGCCCTGCTGGAGGTCCTCAGCCACAAGAAGATGTACAGAAAGTACCACCCGAGGCCCAACTTCGGGCAGATGAAGCTGGAGAACGTTTCTGTGGCTCTGGAGTTTCTGGACAAGGAGAACATCAAGCTGGTCTCCATCGGTAAGTCCATTCATTCGTCTGCAGGTTGCAAAACTTCTTTTTTTAACCCGAATATAAGTTTGCCTGTTAGTGTAAAGTTCACACATATCAGGGATGCTGGTAATACTTATAATACAACTCCCAGTAAAGTTAGTTACTAGTTTTCCTAGTTTATTGACCCAAAACACAGTTTTCTCTCGTTGAGAGCACGAACTGCCTGTTAGAAATTGAGCATTTTAGAGTCTAACTGCGTTTTCCGCATAAATATATATAACCTACATTAACACATTATATCTTTATAGGATCAGGTGGACTCATTCTTCAATTCGGCATACATTTTATACACAAAACAACAAATATTTCTTGTTAGGTTTTGTAAGTGGTTAACCGTTGTTGATACGCGCCCACCTGGCTGATTTGGTCGTTGACAGACGGTGTCTGGAATCAAGAGCAGATTAAACCACATTCCAAAGTTGATATTTAATTGAAGTGATCGCTATTGAGGGTGTTTTGTGATGAAAAAGCCAATATAGATTGAAGACGCCTTTAAAATCCTTGTCTTGTGTGTTTAATGTTGGCCATGCACTTTTGCCGGAGACCAAAGTTCAGTCCATACCTTTGTCCTTTCATTGGTGTGGAGATTATTTTTATCAGAATGTAAACCGAAATCAATATAATGATAGATCCTTGTGTGATAGAATAAATAACTTAACCTAAATAACACGACACTGCATTTTTGGTTACTTTGAGTCCTGTTAGTTCCCCTACATGCAGCCCCTGCCAAACTGTGTTTAAGAATCCTTTGGTTTAATGTCGCTTTGCCTTTAGTCGACATTAAACGAGTGAAGATTATATTATTTGAATATCAATAGATTCAAAATGAACTAATCTTTAAATCGGCACACGGATAATCCAAATTGGGTACATTTTTTTGTTCAAAATTGCACATTTTCCTTCGTAAACTTTGCTCCTGCTGCCTATCACATCAGTGTAGCATTTATGTGATAGACGACCGTGAGAACTGGAGCCAAATCTCCTCTACAATTGTCAGTTTCATTAGAGTTACTGTCCCACAGTTATTACTGATGAACTGCATCATGCTGTCAACAGCAGCCTTAAACTGACAGTTTCTCTAAATGGAGTTTGGCATGTTGTGGGCAGAGTCTCCACATGACAACAGCAGAGTGTGTTTTAATGAGCAGGCTCCCACAGAGGGGGGACACACCTGTGTTAATGAGCCTGGCTTCATGTTGGGGGGTCAACATGAAAATATTTCACCCCCCAAACATTTACAAAGCCATAGCAAACTGTTAATAAGGTTAAACGTGATCAGTCTTCACCTGCTGCTTCATATTTTTCTTTAACAGGGTGCTTGTTGTGTCAGATTTTAATTAGTTTTGTTTGGCTTCCAACCAGGCTGCTAAATTATTTATTATGCTGCATATTTGCAGTTACATTTTTTTAATTGTTTTAATTTGTATTTGTGTAGAAACTCCCTCTGGAGGGATCACAGGGATGTTAGCCTTTGAAGACCATTTAAATGCACAGAAACCAATATAACACACTACAGGAAAGAGAAACTCCTTTAAATTAACAACTGATATGTTGTAGCTGACCTTAAATAGTTTCATTTCTATTGGTCGGTCATCATGTAAAGATTTTTAGATATTTTACTAAAATGTTTTTTCAAAACTTTCTCCCTCCTTTAGTCATGATGTCTAAAAATGTCTAGATTTTCTCTTACGTTATTGACCCCTAAATTACGCAACACACAGGCCAAGAATGCCCAATGCACATGAAGGCATAGAGCATACACACACTCATGCATATAAGTGCCCTGTTTTTAATGTGTATAAGACACATTTAATGAAAGAATGAGGTTTCAAAAGGACAGTGGAGTGACAGCCCCATAATGAAAGTGACCAAAACGGTCTTTCTCTTTAAAAAGTGAACACTGATGTTGGTCTCGCAGTTCCTTTGGTTTCAGATCCATCGATCTCTGGCTGCTTGTCACGCAGAATGCTTGTAAGGATTTTGTTTTACCCGCAGTTTCCTACCCACAGAGTGAGATAAATTACCAACAGAGCTGTTTTTCCCTCTCTGCTGCTTACATGTTAGAGAGTGTTTAAATATCAAACCGTTGTGTAATGACAGTATTGAATGTCTGCTCAGCTTTACAATTATGACTTTGATACTGTATTTAGTCTTTTTTCTGGGGGGGGGGGCTCTTTCACGCAATTAAGAAGTTTGACTTTCCCATTTCACTTTCAAAAAGTATTTTTCTGAAAATACTCTATCTGCAAAGTAACATTAAACGGAGTGATTTGCTCCACACAGCACTGATGGAGCTTGGTATTATGAAGCGTTTTAAACACAACACAGTCCTTTCAAGGTCATTTCAGGACAGAGCTGCATTCATTCATTTATTCACAGCTGCGGTAGAAAATCATCGTGGCGTTTTTTAGCCGCTGTTGCAAATTCATGCTTGTGTTCAACAACGTCACAATCTTCTTAACCTTACCTCAGCATGACTGTTCTTCTTCTTCTGTGGTGTTCAAGCCCGTCCTAAGTAACCAAGCATGACTGGCTGCAGCCATCCTTTCTACCCATAATCCCTTTTTGTTTTGTTTTCATGTCCTGTAGTCTTGTTAATGGAGGTCTGCCCAGTGTGGGGCCCTCCATTAGGTTTGATTTGGCCCGCCAAATATTTCATGCAGAGAAAAAATATAAAATAATGATAATATATAGGTATAAGAGGTAAATGCTTATTTAGGTATGCAGGATCTCTATTTATTTCAGAGTGACACAGGAAGCCAGTTTGGCGCAAGTGAGTTTAGAAAAAATGGAGAGCCAGTGACTGATGGTCAAAGGGCATCATTTACAATTTCACATCTTTACAATACAATCAAATACAACACGTGCTGCTTTTGGCCCCTGGCCCTGCATTAAGTTTCAGTTTTGCCCTTCAAGGGAAATGTTTAACGGTCACCTATTATGCAAAATCCACTTTTTCATGTCTTTTATACATAACCACGTGTCCCCTCTTCTTCATGTCTCTTCTTCATAACCATGTGTCCCCTCTGTGTAAAGAGATTCTGAAAGTTTCAGGAAAAAAGATTCTCTCACTTTTTGTCCTGATCCATTTATATATGAAAATGAGCTGATCAGATTTTGGCCACTTTATGATGTCATAACGATTTCTTTGGCTTGTATAACCATTAAACAGAGGGGTTTATGGGATGCTACAATGCATGATCTGTTTGGTATTTCAGCCAAACACTTCAGAGACTTGTTTTGTATATATCTGAGAACTATATTGATGAAAAACAGTATAATAGGGGACCTTTAAGCATTTAAGTACAGTTTTTTTTAAGCCATCTGGTTGCTGATTTGGGTCTTTTTGTGGGATTTGTTTGCGCTGTGACTCATCGTCGTATTTAAATTAATTCCGACACTAATTTTCCTCTAAAGTCTGAATCGGTGTGTTTCCACAGCTGAACTGAGCTCCTGGCTTCATCCACTGCTTGTTTTGAGGTGGACTTCAACAGTCTTTTCTAGATTTAAGATTCTTAAGTGTTTTATGCTTTATCAAATGTATACAATAATACTTTTGGACATACCCAAAAAAAACTGAGGCTTGACATCACTGGACACTCACTCCCATCCCTTAACACTAAGTTAAGGGATGGGAGTGAGTGTCCAGTGATGTCAAACTGTGTAGGTTGGATTTTCCAACGTAGAAAGGAAATGACCAGGGTTGGGTTGTAACGGAATACATGTAACGGCGTTACGTAATCAGAATACAAAAATCAAGTAACTATTCAGCTCACGTTACATTTGAAAAACGAGTAATCTGATTACAGTTACTTTAGTAAACCTGAAGTGAATACATTTTGGATTACTTATTGGAATTATTGGTGGAAAGATTTCCTCACAACATTTAATATTCATTACTAAAGGTACAGCCGAATCATCACAGCGCACAAAACCTATTACCGCCGCAGATGGACCAAAAAAGGGAGCGTTTGAAAAAAATGTGCGGGTCCGCTCAGTGAAACAATAACAACGAAACATGGAGAAACAAAGTCTGCGTTTAAATCGTGGCGATATCGACACCACAGGAAAACCTCCTTCACTTCATGAAATCTCTGCAGCACCAGGAGGCAGCGGGAGGGTGTTGGCGCCAACACTGGCAGGACAGAAGGCGACACGCCCGTTCTAAGCCGTGTCCCTCACTCCTCACATCCCAAGCTGCATCCCCAAAAAGTTTATTATGTTGTTACATCGTTTCAGATGTTATGTTTCAGTTGTGCTCTTGATAAACCATTAAAACAGTAAAAACACGTTCAGTTTCCTTTTGCTTTTTGTGTCTCCTGTACACCAAAACATACCCATCTGTGATGGATAAAGAAAGTAATCCAAAAGTAATCTAAAAGTAATCTGATTAAGTTACTTTTTTAAGACACGTAACTGTAACTGTATTCGGATTACTTTCCATGTGTTCAGTAATCAGTAACTGATTACATTTACAAAGTAACCCTCCCAACCCTGGAAATGACTGGGTGGGAAACACACACGGTGAAGCAACACTGCCATGTTTCAGACAGACAAAAACCAAAACAAAGGGATGTCATTTTTGAAAAAAAGGTGAGAAATTCACAGTTTTAGTTTCGAGGACTTGTTTAAAAAAAAAAAATGTAATGCAAGTTAATATTCATTGGATCTGAAACACTTTAATCAATTAGCCAGTAGTCACATGTCTTTTTGTACAAGAAGAATCAGTTTCAGATTAAACTCATGCAGCTTTAACTAAAATAGTTTTGACACAGTTGATGGGGTTAAATCCTCTAAATCCACGCAAAGTTCCTTGAATGCATCACAGAAAGTCACAATGCACATGGTTGCAAAATGATTTAGATCAATTAAGCTACACATCGGGTCAGAAGATCTCTTTCTTGACAGTTTTCCTTTTAATTTAATAGTAGTTTGACTTTGGATTAATGCTAAAATCACACATTCAG